ATTAAAATACTTGTTCAAGTTTGATTTTCAAATCATTTATTGGTGTGATTTAATTACTGCTATATGTTAGAGATATATAGTCGCTCTTTAAGTCTGATTTCAATAAATTGATGTATGATTATGTTTTGGGAAACATAAATTCTAGGATTACATGTGCAATTAAATTGGTTTGTATCGTTTAAATCATCCGATTAGAAAGTTAGGACAAAAACTTCTAATTGAGTAGAGAGTGCATGAATTGTTGATGTTGATTGATCCAATCTAATTGAGAGAACCCCGAAACTTCACTATTTTACATATTATATTAAATTTCATCATTATTTCCAGTGACATTTACATTTGAATGCAATAAACAAATTCCCTTCATCAAATTCACGAGAACCCAAAGTTATTGAACCCCTTGAATCACATTTTCCATCTCCCTGTGGATACGACACCCCAAGGCTATACTACGACACCGCGTAACACTTTGGGCGTAATCAAGACTCAAGAACATTTAAGTTCGATAATAAACTCCAGCACTCATTGGACCTCTTGGCATCACAACAGAGGTAGAATATTTTAGTAAACCAGTGGAAAAAGGGGGTAAGTTAGGGTGGAGGAAGGGAGGGAGGGGCTGTAAATATGTCATGCTCTAACCACTGAAAACAGCCTAATTGCTCCAACAAACACTTTATGAAACAAGCAGTTAACTAATAATATATGAAAGGTATAATTGAAGTGGAGGTTTGCAACCTATGCATTTTGTGCAAATGCATTTGTAACCTTTAAATCTGCCAAATTCTCAACTCTTTCATCAATGTAGCAGATTTAGAGGTGGCGATGGTTTTCATCCAAATGCACATTCTGCATGGACTAATTGCTCCATTGATGGAAGGATGAGGATTTGACTACCAAAATTTATAGGTTAGGTTGCACTGGCACAAGATACATTGGTTGTAAATGAAGTCAAGACATCTAGGGCATATTTTAAGTTGCCCAGCTGGAAAACTGAAGGCTGGTCAAGCATATAGCATGTGAATACCTGAAATAGAGTTTCAAACTCCACCCGTACAGTCTCCGTATTCTCCTTCCCCCGCCATCTTTTTGGCATATAATGTGTATGTTGGACCACTCGTGACATTGCTCCCTGTGGATCCAGGACAAGCATCTCATCCATCATTGCAGCCCGACTTACAGCTGTTATAGTTCCAAAAACTGCCGCATACCAAAATAAGTTGCGACCAAATATCTGCGAGATTCAAACATACGTTTAATAAAAAGAAAAAAAATGCCTTGATTAAAAGAACAAGCATATTGCCAATACATTCAAGTGGCGTGAGTTGAAAGTATTACATGGCCTTCCAGCAGAGATTCTTCTAGGAAGGCAATGATTATGAGGACAGCAGCAAAGCCACCAGAAACAAACGAGATAAACCTTGCAACAATGGTCAAGATAGGGGAAGGGAATTGCTTTAGATAATCCAAAGCATGTACTACACTGCTATTTATCCGGTGCTTGAACAAATGGTCAACCTGCACAAGAAAGATGAGATGCCATAAGTACTATACCACTCTTCACCAAAAAAAAAAATTGTATGAATAATTTAAGCATGTAGAGGATGCAAACCTTTTGATGCGTTTTTAAGGACGTAAAATCAGCACAAGAAATTAGTAGTAGCAGTTATCAGTATGGCCAAAAGTTAATAAATTGAAAGACTTGGATGAAATAGCTTCCTATTCCCCAGCCTCCCCTCAAGAACAAGAATGAGAAATAAAGCCAAGTAAGCAGACAAATTTAAGAATCGTACCTCATTGAATTCCCTAAACATCCACTTGGAGAGATTTGACCATCTTCGGTGTGACGCCGTACTAGGGTGATTGTAGAACTGTTCGGCATGCCTCAAAAAGAGATATACCAGCATGAATATAACAAGAAAGGGAGAGAGAAGCAGCATTGCAAAGCCAAATATCATAAGCCTTTTCCTTAATGTTTTAGGATCAGAAACGAACTCCCTCCGCAGACAAAAGTTTCTGGGAAAATAACGAATGTTCTGATCAGAAGATAGAAGTATAATGGTCTGCAACCAATTAAACATATGTATTTCTTTACGGTCAGACAAGACTATTCCAACTTGATACCGAAATAATAGATGCTAATCAACATCATTTGCCAAGATAATGTAGGGGCGGACGAAATTAAGGAGACTATTTCTAGAAAAACACGAGTGTTTTAACCATTCCAATCTATAAAAACTAATCTCTAGTATCGCCTCTTTTCCATGTATCAAAAGCTCCCACAACTTATTAGCATGGTAGGGTATTGTAATTTGTAAAGCGTGTGTTATATAACCTAATTGGAAATTCATGTTCTTAAAATGCCAAAAAATTGACTGTCCATAACAAAGGGTCTCATCCATTTTCTTAAGCCCCCCCCCCCCCCCCCCCAACCCAAAACCCCCCAAGAAAATTATGATAATTATTTGGTTTACGGACTTAAAATGCCAAAAAATTGACTGTCCATAACAAAGGGTCTCATCCATTTTCTTAAGCCCCCCCCCCCCCCCACCAACCCAAAACCCCCCAAGAAAATTATGATAATTATTTGGTTTACGGATGCCTTTATGTGCAAAGGCGGAGATCATAACTAACCTGTCAAACATGCTCTGGAATACGCACCAATTCAAGGTCCATTCAAGTGTCTTTGTTAGCACTAGTCGATGTTGCACACCATTTGAATCAACACTGATAGTTGGACCAGCACCTGGGACCCACCCAAAAATAGGGAAGGCGAGCACTCCTTTATTAACCATTCCAATCAAATAATTCTCCTTCCGCATCAATCGCATCACCACATCGTGAACTGAAAGATCCTTGACCACACATAGTTGTTGCAAACTTGGTGCCCTAACGACTTTTTCAAGAATCAAAGCCCATGGCATAGTTTTTATTTCATTGTCTGTTACATGGAGACTGCAAAAAAACATTAAATTTTTTTAGTACTTCAAAAAACTAACAGATCCTATTGTTCTAAAAGACAATCATAGATTAATGTCAAATTGTCAGATGAATGCCATGTGTAATCCATGACTCACACTTCTTTCCTCCCCTAAAAATAAGTTTAAATGTAAGTAAATAAATAAGTTTCATAAAACATGATTTTTTATTTGTTAAAATTAGAATTAATTACTTATTTTGAGGACAAAGTAAGAATTACTTTCAAAATAATTAACTCTTTTTACTTAAAACTAACTTCCTCAAACATGTTTGGAGATAAAAAATTACTTAGTAACTTTTACTTACTTTTGAGCTTAGCCAAACATGCTCTCAGTCTTCACTTACTTTCATAAAAATGTTCACTTTTTAAAGCTTAGTCAAACATGTATTTTATCTGGGTATGAACCCCATTAAATCCGTATCAGACCAAGACATACCTGTTGAAGTAAAACTGACGGATCTTAAGAGTCTCCTTTAATTGTGCAAAAAACCTCAAGAAACAAAAGATACAGTATATGGAAAATATTCCAAGGTATCCTACAATTATAGCTTTGGGAAGAGTAAAAGGAGTCAATGGCCGCTTATGTAAAGCTTCCTCAGAAAGATCACAAGGCTTAATTCCAGATTCCACTGCATCCATTCCACACTTTGCATTTCGAAGGCCATTCCAATCAACATATAACAAGAAAAATCCAGAGAAACATATGGTGAAAAGCAGGCTCAGAAGCTCAAAAATCCACTTGATAATAATGCACCAAAGCCCTTTCTCGCAGTAGTAGGTGTAAATCCTCTCGATAAACAGGTCCAAATCGTCAATGGGCTCTACATTTGAAGTCTCTCCGTCAAGTAGCCCAGACGGGCTTTCACTATGGGGGCTGGGCGCTTTATGATAGTCAGACAATTCAATTTGAGGAGGTACATCTTTAAGCAACCCTGTTCTTAGAGATGATGATGTACTGTGCCATTTCCATTTGAATATGTTAAGAGAAGGAGCACTTATTTGCCCGCTGAACATCGCTCGTACACACTTACAGCAGGCAAAAAGAGCCAGTCCATTCCTTGAGTACTTCAATCAGAAATTTGTGCTGAAAAACAAAATAGAATCAGCGTAACCCTTAAACTTGACAAGATATCCATGCAAAATAGTACACAAACACACACTAAAAAATATAAAAAAAGCAATTAACAGCTCATTTTAACGAGGGAGATGGGATACTAATTCATAAATGTTTGTTCTTCACATTCTTAAAGTAAAATCATCTCATTGTATAAGTTTAAACAAACTGATTTTGTAAACCAGTAGATGTTCAATAACTGCAGAGATCATTTTTAATTTGATTTACTAAACGATTAGATTATGTCGGTCAGTTACCAATTTCTTCAGATGTAGTGAAGGTATAGAGATTCACTTATATTTACAGGCCTTACCACTATACCGTCAACAGTTAAAAAATCAAGATGTTTGATGCCTTGAGGCCTTCATCTTACTCATCATATCTGTTAAACTCTTGTCTGTTGTTTCCTAAGAAATTTTTTTTTAGTTATATAATGACCTCAAAATGGGCATATATGCATGCATAGCCATAGAGTTGGATTGCTGAATTTATCCAGTGCCATTTCAAGCCACGTTAAACATGCTCTATTTTGCACTCACAGGTAGGCTCTCATATCTGAACATTGCATCTCAAACAGTCTTTTCAACTTGAAAATAGAAATACATAGGAACGCCAGCTGCATAAAATATCTTATTGCCTAAACTATCTTATAATGGATTTGTAGCATAACTTTCGTGTTAAGAGTCCACTATTAAATTTCATTACTTGTAAAAACTAAGAACCTCGTTGATATGCTTACCGAGAATGATCACTAAAATGATTTCCCAATTTCATAGTTTATTTACTTGTTTTAAACCTGTTCATCTGATATAGTACAAGTTATCCAGTAAAAAAAATGAATGCTATAATCAAAATTCAAACATATGACAATCCAGAGTATAACCTCAAATATATAATAAAATTTCCCAGGCCCAACCTTATTATTTATAGAGGTTATAATGTAGTTATACTACTTTTTAGTTAGCAAAACATGCACATACTCTCACTATAAATACTACTCATGCTCTAAACATCATATAATGAGAGCAGCACCATAATATATTAAAAGCAGTTTGAATTTAGACTATTTAGGAGATGAAATAAAACTCCTGTCTATCCAGAGACTAAATAGAATATATTAAACTATGATGATATTCCAAGGAAAGAGGAAAACACTGTAAAAAGCTTAATGCAGCAGAATTGGAAAATTATTCTGAGTGCTAACAAAAAATCAAAGTGACAGCAAGAATTAAATTGGTTTCTCAATCAGAATTTTAGTACACTAAATAAATTAGAAGTTCATTAATCTTGTTTCAGGGTGTCTTTGGTTAATCAAATTAATAACTTCGGCGCTTATTAATATAATAACTCTTTATATGTGCCTATGCACGTTAGTATTGAGAAACTCATCACTAAAGAAGGCATTTAAAAAGCCAAAACGAAAATAAATTATACAGTGTAATATTTGTGCTACATCAATGCGACAAAAATGCAGACAGATTGAACAAGTAACTACCAAACGCCGCTATTTATCGGTTTGCATCCAAAGTTTATGGAGCCAGGCACAAATGGGGGCCAACTAACATCAATAAATGTGAAAATTGTGCACGCATACAAGGAACCGTGGGAAAATATCTTTTCATCATAATAGATTCATCAATATTCAGTTCTTCTAAACTATGAATGTCAATTTTACAGATAAAAGGATTGAAGTAAAGACTTATGATTCAGCTGCCTACCAAGATTCAAAATTTTAACTTCGGTTGATCGGATAACTGAATATTATTTGATCCAAACTTCTGCTTAATAGGAACTTTTTTGAATTCTGAGCGCAGAAAACCCAGATAATACTGGTAATGTTCATTTAACATCTCACAAAGCAAAAAAAAATTATAAAAAAATCCAAATAAATAACCATAAAACATAAAAAAAATAATTGCTAGTCCAGATTGTTTGGAATTTCAGATATACGAGTAAATAAAGGCAGAAGAAGATAAAATTTACCTGCGACCCACGAAAAATGGGGGTCCGATCAAGCCAAAACTTACAGCAGTAAATGAAAGAATTAAAAAAAAACCAAATTTTACGAAAAAAAATTAAATTATAAAAGAATTAAGAAATTTAAACACAAGAACAAGGTGCAGACGGCAAGCCTGAAGCTTTTCTTTATAGAAGAAATCGATAAAAAAGAGAAGAAGGGGCTTGATAATGCTTGCGTGTATAGCTAAGAGCAAAGTATATTTTTTTCTTTATATAATAATTATTTTTATGTATTTGTTTGCAGTTTATTGGGTTTCCATCTCCTTTTTCCCCCTTCAGTTCCATATATTAATGTGAGTAGACGTCATTACTGAGGATCTTTCTCATCAGTTAAAACGATGAGAGATTGTAACTTTCTAACGTGAAATGGGCTGGGCCTGCAGCTGGGCCCAAAGATATCAGTTGGATTTTGGATGCCCAAACTTATAGTGGTAATTACGTAAAGGGAACAATACATAAATCCTACATCTAAGTATTACATTATGCTTAATTTTAAAAGGTAATTTTGATTTTTCTTTGCCGTTTTCTTCGGTCAATTTTTTATTAGAGAACAATACATATATCCTACATCTAAGAATTATATTTCAAATATAACAAACTCCAAAAATCTTTTCAAAAATTAGGTGTTTAATAAATTTATTAAATATTAAAATATAATATAATATACATTAATTATTTTCACTCATGACACCTCACACACCTCTTCCTATCTACCAACTACATCACCTTCCCTCCACCTCTCCACCGGAGATGGCCATCGGCTCCCGCGGCCAATTCGGCAACTGTTTCGATGATAGCTCCGGTGGCCGCTCCGGTGACTTTCCGTCGATTACTTCGGTGACTATTCTGATGATCACCCCAACGCCCGCTCCGACGGCTATTCGACGATCCCTCCAGCAAACTGCTCCAATGACCACTCCAACGTATGCTCCGATCAACCTACCCACCACATCCACCCACTCCCAACTTCCAAAAAATTTCCACAATT